AATTGCTAGACGTATCTAAAGAATTGGCATTAGAGGCCGTAAAGAAGGTGGCCGACGCTTATGTGCCGACCCCCTCCTTTACAATGATTAATGAGGGCCCGAAAGAACAATTTACAGATTTCATAACTGGGCTGAAAGAGGCTATTGCCCGGCTAGCTCAGTCGGTAGAGCATGAGACTCTTAATCTCAGGGTCGTGGGTTCGAGCCCCACGTTGGGCGCCACATGCCATGACCTGCGGGGCAAAGGAATGGGGACGCGGCACTGCAAAAAGGGTTCGGGACACAGCAGAGGTCCCGTGAAGCAATGCTGATTTTATTGGGGGTAACAGTAACTTATATAGGGCAGGTTCAAGGGTGGAGTTTGGACTAGGGAGGAGCATAAGACTGACAACTCAGGGATGAACGTGATTGGGTAACCGGGCAAGGAGGGGAGGAGTTTTGATGTAACCGGGGTTGTAAATTCTGCGCCATGCTTGAAATTGTTCCCACTCAGCTTTATGTTCTCCAACACTGGGCAGGCTGGGAATTGAGTGGAACCATGGAAAAACCCCTTGTCAGAGAGAAAATTGGGTGACCCGAGTGCTGGATGCTTTTAGGAAAGAGATCTGAACATTTCTTGAAGATTGGAGGGGGGTGACTTTTTTATTCTTGACCTTTCCAGTTCTCCATTTGGGGGCAGGATGTCCTCTGGGCCAATGTTTTGTTCCCTTTGCAGTGAGTGCAGCCTCAGAGGGCTGAGCCCTCTCTGGCTGGGCTTGGCCTCTCCTGCAGAGACTCAGGCCTGGCTGGGCTGCCCCAGGCAGACGCTGCAGGAAGAAGAGCTCAGGCCGCCTGGGTCTGGTGTCCCTGGGGCTCAGCCTGTGCCCCATTGCTGGGCAGGGGCTGAGCCCCACCTCTGCCTCGGGGCCTTGGCCAAAGGGCTGCCAAGGAAGAGGCCCAGGAGCCTTGGGGCCTGCCCAGCTTTCCTCCTCCCTGGGGGCTCTCAGTCCTCCCCTGACACCGGGTGGGCCCAAGGCCTTGCTGGCTTCGGGCTCACGGCCCGCCGGCACCATCCCAGCGGCCTGACCCCCCTCCTTCCCCTCTCTCCAGCCTCTCCTGCCTTTTCTGGCAAGGGGCCATCCAAGGCAAACCCCGGTTCTCAGCAATGGCACCTGTGGCACGGCTGCAAGGCTCCAGTGGGCCAGGCAAGAGCAGGAGCACCGAGAGCCTGAGGAGCCAGGAGATGCCCTGGCTGGGCATGGTGCTGCTGCGGGACGAGCTGACACCTCTGCACAGTCTCTGCCCGTCCCTGCCAGCCGACTTCTGCCCAGGCTCTGGGCACGGGGACGCAGCACTGACACTTTTCAGCCCCCGCGCTGTTCCACAGAGGCTCTGATGTCACAAGGCCCTTGCCTGGCAGCCAGGAGATGGGCAAGGCAAGGCAAGGACCGAGCCTTGGGCAATAGACAATGGATGGTGGAGAAGTTCTGGGCCATGACCATTTGTTAGAAAAACAAAGGAAAAGTTTAAGGCCTGCCATATTTCAGTGGTCAGAGACCTGGCAGAGAAATCTATTTTTGAGACCTGGACACCAAGAAGGCAGAATTTCTAAACCACAAAGACCCTTAGAGAAACCAGAGATGAAGACAAAACTAACACAGACAGTTACTGAGGCTCTCCCTATCTAGGGAAAAGACAAGAAAAGGACAAAAACTGTGGACTAAGCATCATGCAAAGTGAGAAATCAAGAGCCAATAGAAGAGAGAATTAGAATTCCTGCAGAGAACTGGTAAACCAATGGACAGGAATTCTTTTGTTTGCTAAAATGTAGAAACAGTTAAAAGTTTTGAGAACTGATGTACAGGTGTTAGAGAGCAATTCCTGTGTCCCTTCAGCGCTGAATGAAGTAGGGTCACCTCTGGAACCCAACCAACTGCTCAGAGATTTTATTCCCCGGCTTTCGCTGACGGTTTCTGGGGACCCAGATGAGACAAAGCAGCGCCGACAGGGCAGAGCAGAGGAATCGTTGGCCCTGCAGTGTGTACCAAAGGAGTTTTGGGGAGATCTTCCAATCCCTGGTCTGGAGAGTTCACCACACCTTCTTTTCTGGGAGAAAGAACAGGCCATGAATTTTGGGTACTTGATTTTAAGGCCTTTTGCCTGCACATCAGGCACAGCAATGGGAAGGAGGCCGGGTGAGGCTGAGAGGTTTCTGTCATGGTTTGTGGGCTTGGGTGAGATTGGGCCAGAATTACAGGACACCTGTAAAATCTGGACTTTGGGAAAGGTTGGGGAGGGTTGGGAAAGGTGTTCAAAGGGTGGTTTTGCCTGAGGTGTTAAACATGGGAGTGGGTCTGTCTTCCCGATTCCCAAGAGAAGAGATCCCAGAAAGCTCCCCTGCAGGTTGTGTTTTAAGGAACAGGAGAGGAGACTGAGGGTAAGGGGTTTCTTTCCTGGAGGGAAGGGCTGTCGTTCACTTGCAGGAGCCCTGCACTGATATTGCCAGTCTGGTTACCCAACCTGAACACAGCTGAAGATTCCTGCCAGACAAAAAGTGCCAGGACAGAAAGCTCTTGCTGCCCATGGAGTGCTCAGGGTGTCCCACCAGCTGCACCTGAGACCTTGAAGCTCTAAGCTTTCCTTCCTGGGGGAAAGGGCTGTCCTTGGCTTGCAGGAGCCCTGCGCTGAAATTGCCCGTCTGACTGCCCAAACTGAACAGAGCTGCAGATTCCTGCCAGACAAAAGGTGGCAGGACAGAAAGCTCTTGCTGCTCATGGAGTGCCCAGGGTGGCCCCCCAACTGCATGTGAAACCCAAAGGTTCCAGGCTTTCTTTCCTGGGGGAAAGGCCGTGACATCCCAAAGAGTCCCGTGGCAGACAGGTGGGGCTGCACTGTGGGGGTGTGAGGTGTTGGTTCTTTGGTTTCCAGGGGCTATTCCAGAATGGAGAGGACAGGCTGTGACATCACAATGGGGCCCATGGTACACGGGTGGGGCTGCATTCTAACCTTGTGGGGTGTTGGTTCTTTGGTTGCCAGGGCTCATTCCAGAATGGAGAGGACAGGCTGTGACACCACAAAGGAGCCCTGGGCACACGGGTGGGGTTGAACTGTCACGTGGTGGGGGCTTGGTTCTTTGGTTTCCAGAGGCTATTCCGGGATGGAGAGGGTAGGCCAGAATGGACAGGACAACAAAAGGGCCCAAAGCACATGGGTTGGTCTGCACTATGGTGTGGGGTGCTGGTTCTTTGGTTGCCAGGGCCTATTCTGGAATGGAGAGGACAGGCTGTGACAAGAAGTGCCTGTCAGAACTGCAAAGACGAACGCACAAGAATCTTCTGTGGGCATATTCTCTGCTCTGCCCTGCAGACCCTTGTGTTGGGGTGAAAACTCAGCCTCTCTGCTTCCCTCTCCTGAGGGACTTGTTCTTAGACATCCCTTTCCCCTACGCTCCTTTCAAAAGCCCTCCTGGCAATTCCCAAGCCTGTACCCAGCTCTCATCCCCTGTCTGTCCTCTTCCCACTCCCCTGGTCAATCCCAACATCCCAGGACAGGGATCCCAGGTGCTTGGCTGCACTCCCACCTAGTTCCATATGCTGGGCCATGATATGCCAGCACTGGAGCAGCCAGGTCAGCAGGGGCTCTCCCAGCTGGAGGCTGAAATCTTTTCACATCTCTCACAGCTCAGCCGGGGATGGGGATCTGGTGATTATCTCTGGCCCTGCCTCTTGCTCCTGTTCTGAGGGCTCTGCTTCCCCTTCATCCCTCACTAACTGAGCTGATTTGGTCTTGGATTTCTTCTGTAGAGGGGCAGCTGCTACTGGCACAGGTTGTTCCTCTGCAGTTTGAGTGGCCACAGCACCTCTTGGTCTCCTTTCCTCCTCCTCCCCCTGAGGGCACTGGGTCTTGGTTAAACAAGATTACAACTTAGAAATTAAGAGACTTCAGGTGGAAGTGTGGAAAAGGAAAAGAAACAGCTTATTATTAAGAAAATATGAATAAACAACAAATGGTGCAACCAAAAACTTTCAGAAGAAACAAAACAAAGTCCCAAACCCCCAGGTGGGGGGGAGAAACTGTCCCGGCAGTTCAAAGCTCTCTCAGCCCCGTGTGCTCGCAGCCAGCAGTGAAGGAGTCCCTTTTCCCAGGGCAGTCCCCAAAGCAGAACACCTCGCTCCCAGATGGGTCGGGCTCTCTCTCTCTCTCTCGGTTGTTCTCCACGAGGTGTCCCGTGGGGAAAAAACTTCCTCTCAGGAAAAGAGAACAAGGTGGCCAAAATCAGCTCCCGCTCTGTCCGGTCCCGGACAAACCCCAAAAGCCCCCGAACAAAGGACCCCCCGCCCTCCCCGCGGCCACCGCGGTGTCCCCGAGAGCCGCCCTCCCCCCACTGCCCCTGCCCAGCGCCTGCGGCTCCGCTCCAACCCACCCCATCCCGGGAGACACAGATGGGAATGGGGGGACACTGGGAAACAATTCCAACACCTCTTTTCAAACCTCTGACACCTGGTTCCCAGACATTCCCAAAGAAGGGGCTTCCCGTGGCCTCGAGCCAGGGACCCACCTTTGTATTGAACCAACTCCTGGAGAGACACGTTCCCATCCCTGTCCCCATTCCCATTCCTGGGGTTCTCATCCCTGTCCCCAATCCCATCCCTGTCCCCATTCCAATGCCTGGGGTTCCCATTCCCATTCCCATTCCCATTCCTGGGGTTCCCGTCCCTGTCCCCATTCCCACTCCCTGCTGTACCAACCTGCTCCCAGTGTCCCCATCCCAGTCCCCCCTGTCCCTATTCCCATTCCTGGTTCCAAGAAAGAAACTGCCGGATGCCGGAGGAGGGAGCCAGGATTTCTTGCCCAAAGCAGGAGATTTTCACACCCAAATTAAAGCCTCAGGAATAATTGTGGTCCTGGGTTTCACACATGAAAAAGTAGGAAGTTGATCCATGGGGAGAGCCACAGGGGGGCCGGGGTGGGTGGGAGCAGCGGGATGAGCTCTGCCAGCAGCTCCTGCCTTTCCACAGGGAGAGGGAAGGGGTGGATCCAGCTCTGGGATCGCTCAGGCCGTGATTCCTGCTGGGATGAGAGCGGGGAAAGGAGTCACCATGTCCCTGTTCCCATCCCAGGGGATGGATCTGGCTGTGGAGCCCAGGGAGAGTAGGAACTGCTCCGGATTCCCTCCTGATCCTGCTCCGTCCCTCCCACCCCATTCCCACTCCATCCATCCCACGCCAATCCCACTCCATCCATCCCACGCCAATCCCACTCCAGAATCCAGCCCTGATCCCAGTCCACAATTCCACCTGATCCCACTCTGGAATCCTGCCCTGAGCTGCAATCCCCTTCCAATCCCGCTCCAACCATTAGGCCCCCATTCCCCTCTGGAATCCCGGCATCCATCCTGGGATCCCTGCACAGAGGATCTGGATCCACACACGCTGCTGGGACTCACTGGTGGGCGCGGGGTCGTATCCATTCCCCTCCCTCTTCCCTATGGAAAGAAAGTGGGATCAGCACCCGTGGCACAGGATCCCCGGAATGCTGCCGGGCGGATCCGTGCCCCTTGCCGACCCCCATCCCGGGAGTTACCGGATCGGAGCTTCCAGACACCGACTGCCACGAGGCCGATGATGATGATGATGGCAGCGATGACGGACACAGTGTCCTAGTTAGAACAGCTGGGACCGATTCCTCACTGGATGGGTGTAGCCCAAAAGTGTGTATTCTATGGCCTTCCATGCCATTTTCCCAGGAACTGTTGTCGGGGGAGGGGGCCTGCGAGGTGGGGGGGTGTCCCTGTCCTCATACCCTTTTATGGAATTCCCTGCTCTGAGAATCCTCATATCCTTTTATGGAATTCCCCACTCTGAGGGAAGAACTAAGCATCCTTTTATGGAATTCCCCGCTCTCAGGGAACGACTGACCATTCCTGCCTGAACTGGAGAATATATAAACCTGGAGTTTCAGAACCTTTCCACCACTCGTGGGATCGAGAGGAAGGCTGCAGCTCACCACTCTCAACCAGACTGAGACCACCACCCTCAACTGGACTGCAATCACCACTTCTGACCAGACTGCAACAGCTCTCCCACCAGCAGGTTTTTTTCCCCTCTCCCTTTACTTTGGACTCGGGGGGGGGCCAAGGAAAACCACTTTGTTCATGCCCCAGGGTGCTGGGTTATACATTTGGGTTTTGTGGGTTAAAACCAATTGCTTGTCTCTATAATCAGACTTATTGGGCAAGGGGGGCCCAAGGGGGGCCCAAGGGGGGCCCAAGGGAGGCCCAAGGGGGCTGGTCCAGGGGGGGAAGGGCTGCAGGGGGCGGATCCCGGAGGAGGAAACCCGCCAAAAGCGGCGGCCCAGCCGAGGGAGGAGCCGAGCGGGAGCACAAAGAAGAGCAGCCAAAAGGTCCTGGCGGTCGCTGGGCAATGGCGGGGGGGGCGAGAGCGGTTTGGGGGCCCCCGTGAGAGCCGGGGGGGAACCCCGGTAGCCGCGGAGTGGGGAGAGCGGAGAGGGGCGATCCCGGAGCTGGGGGACCCCCGGAATGCTGGAGGGGGGGGAGCAGAGAGGGAGCGCCGGGCCCCTTAAGCGGGGGTCCCGGAGAGGGGGAAGGCCTTGGAGTGTGGAGAGGAGGGGGGGCCTTGAGGCGGGGTGGGAGCCGAGAGCGCCAAGAGGTTTGCGAGGGTGGGAGCCGAGAGAGGAGGGCCGGCCGGCCCCGGGAGGCAGAGTGGGGAGAAGTGAGCCCTGGGACCCCCCTGGCAACACTAAAGGGGACCCCGGAGAGTGGGAACCCCCGGAGCCGCGGGACCCCCGGCAGCCCGGAGAAGGGGGACCCCCAATGCAGGCAGAAGTGCCATCAGACCAGACAGGGGGGACCCCCCTAACCCCAGAGAGCAGAGAGGGGGAACTCCTGGGAGGGGATTTTGGGCTGAATGTTGGTGTTTTGGGGGTTTTTATGGACACAAGATGCCCGGTGAGTCCTAGAGCTGGACTTGGGCAGGAGGAACCCCCAAGGCAACGCGCTCACCCCTTGTTTTCCCCCCCATCAGGATTTCTGCTTCCCAAAGCTTGGGCGGATGGAGGAGGAGGCTGCGAGGAAGAGGAAGATGCCTTGGGCCCCCCAGGCAGGTGAGGAGGAAGTCAGTGCCCCTTTGGGTGGGTCTTTTGTCTTTTGTGGCCGTCCTGCCGGGGCCGGAGTTGGGGGGATGTCCTTGGGCTTCCCTGTGGGCCGGAGGCAAATCCCCTGCGTGTCCTTGTTGGTTCCTGCCCCAGGCCCCGAGGTGAGGCCGGAGAGCGCGGAGGACAAATCCCCCCGGCAGAGCCTGGTGGGAGAGGCCGTTTTGAAGGGCTCCCCGGCGCAGGAAGGCAGCGGGGAGGAAAAGGGCCGGAGATGCCCCCGCAGGAGGGGCTCCAAAGCCAGCCCAGGGGGCTGTGAGGAGGAAAGAGCCAGCGTGTGCCGGGAAGGCGGCCGGAGCTTGAGGTGGAGCTGCGAGCTGGTGGTCCCTGAGCAGCCTCCCAGCAGGGAAAAGCCTTCAGGTGTTTGGAATGTGGGAAGAGCTTTAGGAAGAGATGCAACCTCCTGAGGCACCAGCACGTCCACACTGGGGAACGGCCTACACGTGTGGGGAGTGTGGGAAGAGCTTCAGGACCGCTCCACCATCTCCACACCACCGTCGCATCCACAGTGGGGAAAGGCCCTACACATGTGGGGAGTGTGGGAAGAGCTTTAAACTGAGCTCCCACCTCCTCAGCCACCAGATGATCCACAGTGGGGAACGGCCCTACACGTGTGGGGATGTGGGAAAAACAGAGCCCTACCCACCGTCGCATCCACAGTGGGAAAGGCTACAAGTGTGGGAAGAGCTTCAGGGACAGCTCCAGCCTTTGCAAACACCGTTGCATCCACACCAGGGAATGGCCCTACAAGTGCTTGGAATGTGGGAAGAGCTTCAGCACAAGCACCAAGCTGCTCAGCCACCAGCACATCCCCACTGGGGAACAGCCCTACACGTGTAGGGAATGTGGGACAGCTCCACCCTCTACACCCACCTTCGCATCCACATCAGGGAGAGGCCTCACAAGTGTGGGGAGTGTGGGAAGAGCTTCAGGAACAGCTCTGCCTTGACCTCCCACCAACGGACCCACCGGTAAGAGAAGCCCCGAGTGCCCCGACTGCGGGAAGAGCTTCGGCCGCTGCTCCAACTCCATCAGCCATGGGAGGACCCGCGTTGGATGATCCACAGGGACCCCCGTTGGGCACAGCCCTGGTGTGCTGGTTTAAAGGTAAACCAGCAGGGGAAATGACAGTGGTGAAATCACGGGGACATCGATGACATCACAGGCACAGCGGTGACATCACAGGGACAGTGGTGACATCACCGGGGTTAATTTTGGTGTGAAAATCTCCTGCTTTGGGCAATAAATTCTGGTTCCTCCTCTGGCATCTGGCAGTTCCTCCCTGGGAACCAGGAATGGGAATGGGGACAGGGGGAATGGGAATGGAGACACCTGGAATGGGAATGGGAAAACCTGAAATGGGAATGGGAACATTGGGAGCAGACTGGGAACAAGAGGAATGGGAATGGAGACATCAGGAACTGGGAATGGGGGCACCTGGATTGGGAATGGGGACACCGGGGAGAGGGATGGAGACACTGGGAGCAGGTTAGGGACACCAGGAATGGGAATGGGGACACCAGGAATTGGAATGGAGACACCAGGAACTGGGAAGGGAACACCTGGAATGGGAATGGGAATTCGTGGAATGGGAATGGGAACACCTGGAATGGGAACGGGAACATTGGGAGCAGATTGAGGACACCAGGAATTGGAATGGGGACACCAGGAATGGGAATGGGAACACGTGGAATTGGAATGGGGACACCTGGAATGGGAATAGGGAAAACAGAGGTGGGATGGGAACACCTGGAATGGGAATAGGGACAATAGGAATGGGAATGGAGATACCTGGAATGGGAATGGGAACACCAAGAACTGGGAATGGGGAAAACAGAAGTGGGATGGGAACATCAGGAATGGGAGGAGGGACAATAGGAATGGGAATGGGGACACCTAGAATGGGATGGAACACCTGGAAAGGGAATTGGAACACATGGAATGGGAATAGGAACACCTGGAATGGAAATGGGTACACCTGGAATGGGAATGGGGACATTGGGAGCAGACTGGTGACACCAGGAATGGGAATGGAGGCAGCGGGAATGGGAATGGGGACACGTGGAATGGGGATGGGAACACCTGGAATGGGAATGGGGACACCTGGAATGGGAATGGGGACATCAGGAATGGGAATGGGGACACCTGGGCTGGGAATGGGAACATTGGGAATGGGAATGGGAACATTGGGAGCAGGTTGCGGACACCAGGAATGGGAATGGGAACACCTGGAATGGGAATGGGAACATTGGGAGCACACTGGGGACACCAGGAATTGGAATGGGGACACCAGGAATGGGAATGGGAACACCTGGAATGGGAATAGGGAAAACAGAGGTGGGATGGGAACACCTGGAATGGGAATGGGGACAATAGGAATGGGAATGGGAACACCAAGAACTGGGAATGGGGAAACAGAAGTGGGATGGGAACACCCTCACACATGGGGAGCCACAGGTGCTCACGGGAAGGACCATCGAATAAACACTCGATGGATTCTTCCTTCTTTTTAACAGTCGGTCCACAATGGGCCAGATTTGTTCTTTTTGCAGAAACCAACCAGCAGGAGAGATCCCACCACATGAACCGATAAAGCCTTCTACCGCTGCTGTCATCAGTTCTCATTGTCCTATGAGAACATGAAGTGACATCAGAACTGAAGAGTTATACAGGTTTGGGGTTTTTTGTTTGCATGTGTTTTATCTTAAAAATGTTATGATCCTAATAATTTTGCAATATGTATAAACCTACCACAAACATTGTGTTTGTGTTCCCCTGCTCCCAAAATTACTTGTATTAACAACTTATTAAGAAATGTTAAATTCTTTGTGTAGTTTTTCTGAGATGTATTGTCAGTTTAATTTTTGTCAAGTTTATTTTGTCTTTTTAAATATCTGCCTCGATTGAGGAACTCAACCAAATATAACCTGGGAGTTAGTGCAAGTATTCATGCATATTTGAAATCATACAAATACGCATTATATACATTAGCCTTCTGCCTTGAAAGGCATTGAATTTCATATTTGGTTAAATTTAACAAATAGAACTAAATTTAGGCCCAAAGAGAACATAAGAAAGCCTTTTACCAGCTCCCAAGTAACTCAATGTTTTGATGTATAATTTCAAGTATGTGTATATGTTTGTAACCTTATTAATGTTAAGAAATTTGATTGTAACCTAATTTTCACCCTCATTACTCACGGGGTGAAGACAGTAGCTAATACAAATTAGCTTACTATTTTATTGTAAAGTTGTTTTTTTTGAGAGAGGAGGGTTGCGGTGCATTGGGGCTACCTCTTCCTTTCCTTTACTCTTCTGTCTTCCTGTCCACTGTACAAGAAGCACAACCCACAAAGAAGATTCACAGAGAACAAAAATCATTGAATGCATAAATCACGGGGTGGTGTCAGAGACTGGAACAGTTAATGATTTCTGCATTCTAAGAGACTTCTGCAGGCTTTTGACTTTCTGATGGGCAGCTGGGC